AAGCTTCTCACCGCCCCTGAGCCTCTGGCCTGTACCCCAGTTCTGTATGCACAAATAAATAAATCTTTAAAAAAAAAAAATAAAATAAAATTCTACTAAGGAGGCTGAAAGTGCAATTAAGGGTAGGGCATAAATGACTCCATTTGGGGTGTATTGTTTCACTTTGTCAATGCATATATTATGGAAATTAATACACAGAACTCTGTTTGTGTGTCCAGTTCATTTCTGCATGACTCCTCTAAAACCCTACTTAAATGAGGTGTCATATACAAGCAGTCAGTAGACTACAAGACCCTACATGCCTTGCATGTTGAACAGGAAGTGATGTTGTTTTCCTACCCAAGGGGAAGGAATAAGGTTCCTCTCTGCCCAACAACAGCTCAGCCAATGAGAAAATGCCAAAAACCAAGGAATGAATAGCCAGCACACATCAAACTCCCAGTTTTCTCCATCTAGCTTTGGTTACAATAGACCCACTGATATTTATGAAAGTTAATTCAGGCTTTTGTACTGGAGAGGGAGCTCATCTCTTTCTATGAAACTGTACTTTCCAAATTGTCTTTTAGGTGTTTCTGAATTAACCAATTTTGATGGTGAATACCTGGTGGTTTCTCTTTGGTTCAGCCTGGCAGTGAGGAGAGAAAAAGTACGTTTTGTACTTTTGCTTGTACTAATATTTCAGTTACCCGTAGGAAGTTTTGGAATGCGTCTCTGGATGCTAAGAGAATGGCATCCAGAGTTTGTGGGTCATGACTAGCTTGGCTGAGGTCTCAGTGCATGCCAGGTGGCATGGTAGCTTGGAACTTTCTGCCTGTGTGCAGTCCCCAGGAAGCTCCAACAGCAGTGATGGTGACAATAGTGGTTTTCTTACGTTGCTATCATCAGTGTGAGCAGACCTACCCGGAGCGCAGTGGCAATACTTTCCCCAGCCTGGCATACTCTCTGCAGGAAGGACCATGGAATTCCAGGCCAAAATGGTAGGCTTTCAATGGCAGCCTATCCTGTAGCTGCTGAGCCCCACATCCTGGTGCTGCTGCAAGGCCCCCTGCAATGGTATACCTTGCCCCACTGAAGCCTCAGGCCGCACTGAGACCAGCTCCAGGCTCAGCTCCCAGGAGCATAACATTGACAAGCGCAGCGAATACATGTTAGGTCTGGGCAGGCGCCCAAGTTTTCCCTTTAAAATATGGTGCTATGGGCCCTCCCTGGTGGCGCAGTGGGTTAAAGCACTGCACTGAGAAGCTACAGCCACTTCCGCATGAGTTTGAATCCCGCCTGCCCTGGAGGGGACCACATGGCGTGGCAGACCTCTCCTGGCCCGCCCGCTGCTCCCCTCAGCAGTGTACTTCGTCGATCTGCCTGTTCTGCTCCCCACTCTGTCTTTGGTGAAGCCTCTCACCGCCCCTGAGCTTCTGGCCTGTACCCCAGTTCTGTATGTACAAATAAATAAACCTTAAAAAAAAAAAAAATATGGTGCTATGGTCCTCCCTGGTGGTCCAGGGGTTAACTTAGTGCTATCAAGCTATCACCAGCCATTGTGGCATGAGTTCAATCCCCAACCAGGGAGCAGACCTCTCCTGTCTCAGCAGCTACTCCCCTCAGCAGTGTACTTAATCCATCTGCCTGTTCTGCTCCCCACTCTGTCTCTGGTGAAGCCTCTCACCGCCCCTGAGCTTCTGGCCTGTACCCCAGTTCTGTATGTACAAATAAATAAATCTTAAAAAAAAAAAAAATATGGTGCTATGGTCCTCCCTGGTGGTCCAGGGGTTAACTTAGTGCTATCAAGCTATCACCAGCCATTGTGGCATGAGTTCAATCCCCAACCAGGGAGCAGACCTCTCCTGTCTCAGCAGCTACTCCCCTCAGCAGTGTACTTAATCCATCTGCCTGTTCTGCTCCCCACTCTGTCTCTGGTGAATTTTCTCATCCCTGGCACCTCTGGCCTGTACTCCAGTTCTTATATGCATAAATAAATAAATCTTAAAAAAATTATGTTCTTGGACCTCCCCTAGTGGCGCAACGGGTTAAAGAACAGCACTATGAAGTTACAGCAGCCACTGCAGCAGGAGTTTAATCGCCAGCCAGGGAGGTGACCCATATGGCATGGCAGACCTCTCCTGACCTGCCTGCTGCTCCCCTCAGCAGTGTATTTTACTCAATCTGCCTGTTCTGCTCCCCACTCTGTCTCTGGTAAATCCTCTCATTCTCCCCACCTCTGGCCTGTTTGACATGTATGCATAAATAAATCTTCTAAAAATTATGCTCTTTTTGTGCATTTAACTTAACTATATGGAGGCCATAAATGCCAGGGTTCAGGGACAGTCACTTGACTGCCCAACAGACTAGTCTGTTGGTCTGCTACCCTCCTCTTCCTCACTTTGGTCTGAAAAACCTCTTGAACACAGTTCTCTTTTTCTAAACTTTGAATTCACTTCCAAGCAGTGATCATTTCAGGTGCTATCTGTGAGGAATTACTTCATCCTCATGTATTTCCTTCATATATTTACGTTAGTATGGCCACTAAAGTGTTTATTTAATATAACTTATAGTCTACTACTATGATTTTTAACTTTTTCGTTCAAATTGTTCGGGGTTTGGCCACTGGACGTTTCTGTGAGCGCCTGTGTCTTTTGAACCAGCTTCTGGGCTGTTATTTCCTCGCATCCCCTGGGTGCGAGGGTACAGGGCGGGTCTCTGCCCCGGCCTCAGGGCCTAGGCCGGGCTTCCTCAAGCCCCACGGGGGCTGACTCCTGATTGGAGGTGGCGTGCAGCACCAAGCTCAGAGAGCAAAGCGCTCCTTCTGGTTTGCAAATCCCTGGCTGCGCCTTGCAAGGAGATCGCCCCGCCCCTCCCGCCCCTCCCAGCAGCCCCCGCGCGGCACGTGACCTGGACGCCTGCCAGGGCTGGCGGAGGCGGTGGAGCTGTGCATCCGAACTGCGTCCTTGCGCTAACCCGTTCGGTCTTGGGGGTGCTACGGCAGCTTGTGTTTCCGCAGGTGACTGTCCCCTTCTGGTGGGGGTGACCCCAGATCCCTCCTGGCCAACCCTGCCCTCCCTTTGCCTCCTGCCCTCCCCCTCCCCCTCGCGCCCCCGCCGTTCCCCCCTCGACCCCGGCATCTGTCTGTCCTTTCAAGACCCTGGCGGGGAGTCGCCCAGTCCGCGCCCCTCAGAAGTGAGCCGGGAACCCCAGCCGGGCCTGCGTGCCTCCTCCGGCGGCTCTCGCTCCGGAGCTGCCCCCTTACCGAAGGTGCGCCGGAGGCCGGGCCCTGCCTGGGGGCTCTGGTTTCCTGGGGTGGGTCTCGGGCCCGTCCTACAGTCCTGGTGTATGGGAATTGGGGCTCCTTTTGGGTTCTTCTCCCGCCCGCTGTCGGGAATTTAGCGTCCCGGATGCTGTGAGCTGGCTGGCTCGTGGGTGGGACCTACACCGTCCCCCCATTCTCGCCCGCCCCCCCTCCCCCATCGTTTCACCTACTTTTGGTTTTGCGGAGTCCTTAGATGTAGACGTTTGTTGGTACATTTGATTCACCCATAGAGAACTCTGGAGGTCAGGAATTGTTATTTCGAGTCAGCATTGGTTTTTGTAGTTTCCGATGTATAGGGATTTATATAGAAGAGGCTTGGATGAGCACTTACTAAATTAGAGTTTTTCAAGGTGCGTGGGAAAAAGGGAGGCGAGAAGTCTTGCCAGAAAATTGGGAGAACGTTTTTAATGTCAATGGCCTGTAACTCCCGGAGGAACGCTAAATTCCCGGGTCTCCTGTGGTCTTTGAGGTAGTGAGTATCCATGCAGGAGGTGGCTTCTCAAGTCATCCCAGACTGAAGGCCCGGACTCTTGACAGTTTAATTGCCTGTTTATTTGTGGCCTTAATGTTTGTTAAACAAATTAATGACCAAAACAACTGTCTCTATTTCCTGGGCAGTGGAACTGCTTAAGGGCCTGCCTATGGGAATGCTCCTGGTGAGCCAGGTGCTTAGGAGTGTTCCCTGGGTTCTGGGGGTTCTTAATCTTGGGCACATCTGCTGGTTATTGTTGGGAGGTGGAAGTTGGGAAGAGACTCTCTGGGTTGGGAGGTGCTCATCATATAGGGCTTCCTTTTTGCCTGTTACGTGATTCTTTACTTCACTCCACTATTCAGTCTCCTGAACTCCCCCATTCCCAACATACTGATCTGTGAGGGGAGGAATCAAGCCTGTGTTGTATGTTGTCAGTGGTGACTAAATGCTTACTGAAGGTTGCAGAAGAGAACTCAGAAACTGACAACGGTTCTTAACTAGCATTATATTTCTAATGCTGTTGAATGTTCTGTAAATCAGTTTCCTGATAATCTCAAGAGACTGCATTTTTGAGAGGTGTACAAGCCACCACTCTGTGGTAATCTGTCATTGGGATAATAGAGGTTTCTTACAACCCCCTGAGAAACACTCCCAGTTTGCCACCCTACTTTAATACTTGATTTCTTTCTCCTTTCCTCTGCTTTTCCCTTTTCACTGGATGTTTAAAGAAATTATCATTGTCCACTGATAGTACTAAAGACTGCAGACAGTAATATGAACTTTAAAATGTTATAATAAAAATGAAATTATTAAAGACATTAACAATAAAAATACAACTACCATATGATCTAGCAATTCTGCTTTTGTGAACTTATCCAAGGAAGTGAAGATACTTGTACATCCCATCCATTCCCTCCCCCCTCATCATAGCAGCATTATTTACAGTAGCTCATAAATGGAAGCATCCTAGGCATTGGTGGATGAATGAATGGAGAAAAATTGTGTTTTTCATAGTGCATATGTGCATATGTAAAAAATGTTTTCATTATATATAAACAATATTATTCTACCATAAAAAATGAGAAATCCTTCTATTTGTGACACTCGGGATAACCCTTGAGAGCATTGTACTAAAATAAGTAAAGACATAATAAATATATGATCTCATATGTGAAATCTAATTGAAAACAAATTTAGAGAAAAAACATTTATAGAAAATGAAATCAGGCATAATTAGAGGTAGGGGTGGTAGTATGGGTAGGGAATAGCGGTAGTGGTAGAATTGGAGGGAGGTGGTAAAAGGCAAAAGTTTCCGATTATAAATACGGATGATGTAATATACAACGTGATGACTATAGTTAGTACTGCTGTGTGGTTTATAGGAAAGTTAAGACGAACATCCTTATTGCTAGGAAAAACTTATTTAAAATGTTTTTCTGTTTTATCTATATGAGATGATGGATGGAATTTAAAAGACATATTCATCTCAGTATTTGTAAATCAAACCATTATGGTGTATACCTATGCTTGTATGGTGCTGTATGTCAATTATAATGCAAACAAAATGGAAAAAAAATGTTTAAAAAGTAGACTAGTTGAACCAGTCATATTTTAGTGCTTGCATATTTGATTTTCAATTTGATTGTGGGAACAGAAAAATGAACTTACTTAAATTAACTTTTTGCCCTTCAATAAGTGCCTGTCTTTGGCTTGTTACATTAAGAAATGGTTTCTACTTGGAAATGGCCAATGCCACTAGTGAACTGATGATGGATCACCCACCCAACCTTTTGTAGGGGCTGTGTCATTTTGAGTAGATTTGGGGTAACTCACTCCTCCTTTTTATTACTGTTTTTGAAGACTAGGAGTAGGTTTTCCTCCCTTGGATAAGGAAGTAGCTTCTACAGCTGAGTACAGAGTGTAATAGAGGAACCAGGATATTGTCAATGAGTCACTTATAAACAGGTAACCCTGGATTGCAGCTCTTGGAAAAAATAGGAATGTAATAGTTGTTCTTACTTTGGTGCATCTACTCCTTTGTGGGCATGTTATCTCATTGACTTCTTGATGTGGTTCCATGAAGTAACTAAACAAGGAACATGAGACTCAGAGAAATTTAATATCTTGTTCAGTCATACCAGTTAGTAAAAGGCTCAGAACCATCAAAATCCAAAGGTGATATTCTTTCATCTCTTAAATTGGTTCCTTTTGGATTCAAAACTTTTCAAATGATATGAGACGGGCATAATGTGATAACATGTATTTGTAGAGGTAAACCCCACCCCAAAAACACATATAGTGTTGCAAATTAAAACATAACCTTAATAAACATAATTTAAAATGATTTAAATTCACATTTAAAATTATCTGTATTGTCAAAATATTTATATTTAAAAACTTCCTATGTTTTACTGGCATATGAATAGTTTGCTGGAGACTAACAAGAGGACTTCTATAGACCTCAACTATTGAGCCTTAATTTATATATTAGGCCCTGTTCTAGGGTAGAAATAGTGAGATGTTGAAATAAAATATGCAGTGATGGGAATTCAGCAAAGTAAGGTGGTAAAACACTCCTCTTTTTGCTTCAGAAATTAATTTGGTGATTATTGTGGGAGTTTTTTTTTTGCCTCCTAGAGTATGTGTTCACATTTTGACACATTAGGGACATCTTAACTTAGTAAATCTTCTAAGCCATTTGAGAAGCACCTTGATGTGTTCTGTCTAGTAGGGTATTTTGGATAAGTTTTAGGATAGTGAGGAAATACTAATGGAAGTGATAGTAGTAATAGTAAACTAGTGATAATTGTGGTGATTAACAATGGCTGTGGGAGTAGTTAATATTTATTGAGTTTTAGTTTTGGTTTAGGTTTTGGGCATTATGCCCATAATTATTTCACTCAGTTTTCCAAACTTTCTGTCGAGTAGGTACTGGCATTCTCATTTTACAGATTAAGAAACTAAGGATTGGAAAAGTAACTTGCCCAGGGTACTTTATACATGATTAAGACAGATTATGTGCAAGTTTTATGAGTCCAAATCTTGTCCTTTGAAGTCTTAGGCTGTATGGATTTTTAAGAGCATTTCCTCAACATTATATTTTACGATATTTGCTTGCTAAAGATAAACCAAATCTCTACCCCTCCTCCCCCCCAATTTAAAAACAAAAACAGTTGTTAGATGGAAGTCTCAAGCAGGGAGACTGTGAGAGAGAATGAATTTTAGGGTAATTTAAATAATGCTTAACTATTCACGTTTATCAGAATAATTCATATACATAGATTGCAAAACCAAGTAGTACTTTAAACCTCAGAGTATAAATACCAGCCTACCCACTTTTCATTAACTAATGAGACTTTTGCTGCCTTCTAAACACTCTTTTATCTAATCTACCAGTTAGTCAGAACCTTAGATAAATAATATTAATTTCTTCTATTTATCCCCAAACCCCAGTTGGCCTTTCTGTTCCACTCTGGACTTGTTTCTTTTCCAGACCTGCTGCATGACTGTCTTCCTGGGAGCTTTCTTCCCTACTTCCTGGGCTTTTCTTTCTCTTGGATCCCCAAGTTCTGCCTGGTTTATTTTCTCATTTTGATAGAATACATTCTTCACTAGATTCTGGAAACTGGGTACATGGAAAGTAATCTTAAGACGTTTAGCACATGTATAAAATGTATTTTATCTACTTGAGTGATAATACAGCTGGTAAAGAACTCTAGCTCGGAATAAATGTTCTCTCAGCATTTTGAAGAGCTGATCCATTGGCTTCCAACACTGTTGGTAAAGATGCCCCATGTTTTGCAGGTCCTTCATATGACTTCTCTTTTATCCTCTGGGCAGTTTTTAAAGGTTTAAACTTCAGTCATATACCTTACTGAAGATTTTTTAAGTTCATCCTGCTGTACATTCATCAGTCATTTCTTTTGTGTTGAGAAATGTATTTATTGTTTTGGGAAATGTTTTGATAGTGTTTCTCTACTCTCTTCTCTGTGGTTATTTATGAAATTCTATTAGAAGCAGAGTATTTTCTATCCCAGTCTCATTCTCTAGTTTTTCACCTCCTGAACTTTTATTTCAGAGAGATTACAGAAATTTCCTTTCGATTCTTATATTGAATTTAAAATTGTTTAGAATATCCTATTTTTGCATTCTATATATTTTTTAATACAATATAGAGTATCATTTCTGTGACAGTAGCATTTTGGGGGAAGTTTTGTGTATT